ATGAATGCAGGTGTGGGTGTACAAGGGAAGGCTCTGGCACACATACAAGGTGAGTATCAGTTGCACGTGTGTTAGTAAGGAGAAAATATTCTAATCCAGAAAACTTAAACAAGGCTCTGTGAGGCACATCAAATTCATACATGCTTCTGTACACACACCAAAAAAATATAATGTCCAATGTCTATCACTTTTCATCTTTTAAGTACTTTCACAATTATTTCCAGTACTTCACAATTTTATGCTTTTCTTTCAAAGCTGAACAGTGGCTTCAATCACCAACTGTTACCAAGACCACTGGAACCATTTCAGTCTGCTCCTGAGCATCACTGCATTTTCATGTTTTCTCACGAATTTCCATTTGAAATTCAGTTATACCTGAACTGAAAATAATACATGCTAAAAGTAACAATCAGCTAAACATGACAAAGGGTGTTTATGAAAATCCAAAGCTAACCTAATACACAGGGGAGAAGGACTAAAAAAATCTTCCTCCATTAGAAATGAGATAGAAAGCTCACTTTCAGCACTGCTTTACATTACTTAAGAGCCTGATGGATCTTAATCACCCAAGATCCAGTAATATTAATGGACATTTTCAAACATAAGCCACTCCTAGGTTTTTAACTTCATACCATTCTGAAAACCATGATGTAATCTCATGACATTTTGCACCAATCCACTTGAAACAAGAACATATTTTGTTCACAGGATCCACACTGTGTTCACTACACCTAGCCCATGTCAACTAAGACTATACTCACAAAATTTATTACATTACTGTAATTTTTCTTATTAGTTACTGGTAATCTCAGTCATACATGAAACATCATCACAGAAAACTCAATTTGGAGACAGTGTCTTATACACATATAGGACTTGAAGGTAAAAACTGTAGCTATCTGGGCCACGACAGAAGCTCTGTTTATAACAGAAGTCTGATGTTTATTCAATTATCTTTAATGATTCAACCTCTACTACCAAGTAGAAAAATATATAGATCATGCACTTTAAAATGAATCGCTGTGGGGCTGGAGAGACAGCTCAGTGGTTAAGAGCACTGATGGCTCTTGCAGAGGACCTGGGTTCAATTCTCAGCACCCACATGGCAGTTAACTGTAACTCCAGTTCCAGGGGATCTGATGCCCTATTGTGACCTTCGATATCATTGCACAACATGTATGTACGCACTCACATACATGCAGGCAATACACTCAGATATATATATATAAAATAAACAAAAAAATATTTTATTTTTTTGGTCTTTTTTGAGACAGGGTCTCCCTGTAGCCCCAGCTGGCCTGGAACTCACTATGTAGACCAGGCTGGCCTTGAATTCAAAGACATCCGCATGCCTCTGCCTCCTGAGTGCTGGGAGTAAAGGTGTGCACTACCACACCAGGCCACAAATAGATAAAATATTTTAAAAATAAAAATAAAATCATTGTGCCCTGTCTCCAAAAAATAAAATATAAAACTAGGGCTGAAGAGATGGCTCAGTGGTTAAGAGCACTGACTGCTCTTGCAGAGGACCCGGGTTCAATTCCCAGCACCCACATGGCAGCTGCGAACTGTCCTTAACTCCAGTTCCAGGGGAATCCGAAGCCTTCTTCTGACCTCCGGGGCATTGCACACTATGGGTGCACTCACATACATGCAGGCAGTACACTCACACACATAAAATAAAAATAATAAAATATTAAAAAATAAATAAAATAGACTATAAAAATAAAGCACTGTAAAATAAAATTACCTTTGATCTTTTGTTGGGTGTATATGCTTTTGCATTGCTGAATATCAATCGGATGTCTTTGCAAAATTCCAAAGGGCTGTCATAATTACCAGCTTCTAGAGTTTCTCTTACTGTTCCAAAATCCATTGGCGTGTCTATAATGTCTCTGTAATCCTAGGTTTAAAAAATAACAAAACAATTCACGATGAACTTAAGTGTTTTCAAAACTGTAAATGCACAGTAAGATCTCTAAAAATATTCAAAAGCAACAGGAAGAGGGAGAAAAAATTCAAAGGGTCTTGAGGGTTAGTGTTCAAACCAGGCACAGACACAGGTGGAACAGCAGAAAAAGAGCTACAAGACACTACAAGATTTTAGTTTCCTTTCATTTATGTGCATATGTGCATGTCCCAAGGTGGGCATGTGCACATGTGTGCAGGTGCCCGAGGAGGCCCGACACTCCCTGGAGCTGGAGTTAGAGGGTTGTGAGCCACCCAACGTGGGTGCTGGGAACCAAACTCGGATCCTCTGCAAGAGCAGCAATCCCTTTTAACTGCTGAGCAGTCTCTCCAGGCCTGTAACATCAAATGTCAATTGCTATTGGTAATGAAACAAAGTGCTTAATCTCCTGATTGACACTCTGGTAACTGTCCAAGCTTCAGCGGTGGTTTTGCTCCTGCTGTCCTGCTTTCTGCTCATCTTCCAAGTACTATCTGAGGAGTGCAATTTTTGTTGTTGTTGTTGGTCTTTTTGAGACAGGGTCTCCTTGTAGCCCCAGCTGTCCTGGAACTCATTATGTAGACCAAACTGGCCTTGAACTCACAGAGATCGCCTGCCTCTGCTTCCCGAGGGCTGGGATTAAAGGCCTGTGCCACCACGCCTGGCTTGAGGAGTGCTGGCACTTTACCCAAGTTACAGTTTCTTAAAGCCTGCAGTGAGAAGCATATTTAGACCTCCCACCTTCATGTAACACTGCTTAACTACACTACTTTACTAGTCTAAATCTTAAATGAGTTACAAATGTTAAATGAGTTATAAATGTCTATATTCTACAACTTAACTAGTGGAAAGAGAGAAAATAAGTAACATAAAGCCTAGCCCTCTTCTCTAGGGTTTAAGTACTCTACCCCAAGTTCCTCTCCACAAAAAGCCCCATTCAGCCAAAGGAAACTTACTGGATATTCAACCAAATCAACAGGTTGTCTAAATGGCTCAGAATCTTCACACTGAAAAATTAAGTTCACTAGTTCCTTACACTGTCTCTTCCAGTTGCTTTCAACACAGCTGGTAGCTTTGCTGCTCCTTTTTTTCCAATCATGGACCTAAAAATACATTCACAGGTTATTTCAGCTAGGGAAGGTGGGGGAGTTTACACACTATGGTATATAACATTGGTTAAAGAAAATAGAGCTCTTCTGTTTCCTCTACTGCGTAAGAACTAGCTATTTTTGATTGCATATCTAGCTGGAAAAAATCCAACTTCTGTAAAAAATCTCATCATGCATGTTGCTGTAAACACATTTTTCTAGAATAAAATTTAAAAATAGTAACATACTTCAACAAAATGTTAACACCAGAAAAATTACAGTAAGATGAAAAATGTGTTCCACCGTGTAGCACACATCAAACATGACCCTAAAGAAGCAGTTCTGCCACCGTTCTCTCAAGTCTCCAAGTTTTTCTGTCATCGAATGAAGCGCTGTATGTACCTGATGATGGGTAGGGAGAGTGGGGCCTTACCACAGGTGTCCACACCAGACTCCTGGGAGCCTCCACTACTGTTCCCTTTCAGGAAAGGGTACCTTGTAGACGGTAATTAAAGGTAAGGACATTGAAGTGGAAAACTATCCATGATTAACTATATGAGCCCAAAGTAATCAATCACAAGGGCCATTCTAAGAAAGGACAGAAAGATCTGCCAGATGTAAACGGGAAAAGGCTTTATTCTGGTTTGAATAAATGGAAAGAAAAAAAGATGTAGGAAAAGACAGGAGCAGCCTCTACATGTAGAAAAGGCAAAGAACTCTCTCCTGTACTTTCTAGCCATGACAACACTGATTTTAGGCCCCTATGAAACTTCTAATACATGAACCTCAACATGGGGAAGTCTAAAACTTGTGAAACGGAATACATCATTTGCTACAGCAGGCTTGGCAAAGAAAAGCAGGTGGGTAACACTTGGCAGACCACTAACAAGCAAACCTCCATGAAAATGACAAGCCAAACGGGACTATTTCATGTCTAACTTCTCAGTGCTACTTAGGGCAATAATCTTGTGAAAGAAAACAAACATTTGATTTTTTAAATTTAAGGAGTATTTAGGTGAAATTTAAAATGACCTGTTAGGATGGTTTAAAAATTTTGCTAGGAATAGCCTTCTCATCAATCTACTGCATTATACTTGAACTCTAACCAAGCGTATTATAATGACCCAATTTCCTACACTTGCATGTATTCTTGTCCTTCACCTTTCAAATCTCATCTTTCGAACAAATCTCCATTTTTAAAAAAAGTTCAATAACCAAACCCTAGCTAATTTTCCCCTTAAGAGACCGCATCACCTTCCCTGCTCTGTAAGAAAACACCAGCTCTAAGTAGGCTCCCTCCTTTATGCTAAATTCTCACAGCATCCAGCGGGAATGTCTTACCTTGCACCTTTTCTACTTGGCTACAATGGCTTCTGTGCCGTAAGATTAAATGAAGTCCTTGGAGACACCAGCAGCCAGCAGCAGTCACTCTGTTCCAGCCAGTGCTTTCACAAGCCCACAAACACCCCATCTTCCTGTTTCTTGACTGTCCTACTCTGAAAATTCAATTCAAAACTCTTACACTAAGGATTTCTAAATAACTAGGATTTAGTGATTTCTGCCATTCTTTTTATAAGCAATTCCTCGCATAACCTACCAGTATCTGTATTAGATTACTGCTCAGGACAGAAGCTATACTCTAGAAACCAACATGGGATTTTGAAACAAGAACGTACAAACCAAAATGTCAAGTATGCAAAGTAACTTACTCTCTTTCTCCCAGAAGATGTTTTGGGAAGATCACTATCATCCTAGGAATAAAACCAGAGTACCTTAATGTGTTAAGATTCTCACTGGAAATATTAAAAACCTTAACTGATCAAAAACACAATTCAAAAATGTAAATTCTTATCAACTGTTCTAATTTCATAGCTAATTGGAACACAGCAAAAGATGACGCTAGGTGACGTATTTTCTACTTCACTCATTTTCAAATATCATTTGAAAAGCTGTATAAAATTAACAAACTTCATACCAAATCATCAGCATTTCGCTCATCATTTTCTGATGTGTTAGACAATTCTGAGATGTTTATACAATCTTGATTCCTTTAAAAAAAAAATTCACATTAAGAGTACGCAGATACAAGTACTGTACTAAAGGTTCAAACTATGCATGAAATTATAAACAGTGAAGCAGGAGGAGGTGGATCCCTGAGTTCCAGGACAGCTGGGGCTACAGGGAAACCCTGTCTCAAAAAAAGACACCCCCTCCCCCCCCAAAAAGAATTAAATCAGATTTTGATCAGTCCTTTGAGAAAGTAACTGGCCACCTCAATACTCTAATTTAGAATACTGATAGTTTGTTTGAGTTTGGAGGCAGGGTCTCACTATGGATCCCTGCTTAGACTCGAACTCACAGAGACCCACCAGCCTCTGGTACTTTGGTGCTAGGATTAAAGAATTCACCACCATGCCTGGCTACCGGCAAATTTTTTAAGTATGTGAGAAATTAAGCTGATAATACAGAAACAAAGCTACGACTCACTTCATCAGGCTGAACAAGTGAGTTTTTCTAGGTTTTATCATAGTAATATTTAGACAGGAAAAAGCGAGGAAATAGTGGATTTGAGAAACAAGAGAAGGTAAAAAAGAAACAAAGTATCTAAACACCACATAATCTTAATTAGAGTATGTGAAGAAATGTCACCTAAAGTAAGAGTAGCTGGACAGAACTGAGATAGTAAAAATGAAGCCAGCAAGAGCACAGTGTGCAAAGCTTTCCACCACACATCTGAGACTACTTACTTAATAAACTTGAGAAGCTGGTCAGTTATTTTTTTTGCTGATCTTGCAATTACACTTTCAGGTTCATTAAATGTTCTTGCATTGTGTTCTATATACCGAACTTCCCAAATTAATGCAGATAATCTCCTTCAAAAGAAAGTAATTTATTATTTAGAAAACAAAAATAATTAAAACCCATTAAAAAGAAAGCCCATTAAATGCCTGTGAAATAAAAATGCCATCAGCGCACAATTGTAACAACCTTCTATGTTCTCAACTTGATTACAGACATTAGCTCAAAATGAACTATAAAAAACTAATTTAAACAAACCACCAAAATCATAAGAAACCAATACACAGCCTTTCCCTTCCATAGTGCTTATCAGTACCTCTTGAGCTGGTAAAAATCGTGACTTAGGTGGGGTAGATGACTCAGTGGTTACGAGTGCTTGCTGTACAAGCGTGAAGCCCTGATTCAATCCTCTTAACACCCCTATATAAGAAAGAAGCTGGACATTGACACAAATACCTTTAACAGCACCATCAGGGAGTACAGACAAGTGGATTCTGGTAGTTCACTGACCAGCCAGCCTAGCCAGGACAGTAACAGACTCAGACTCAAGGGAACAAGACAGAGAATGACACAGGGCAACACTAGATGTCAATCTCCAGCTTCAACATATGCTCACTGGGCACCACACACATGCATACACCACACACACACACATACCCCAAAAAATTCCATGTAGAAAATGTGGTGACTTGAATTCTGGGTCAGTTTCAGTGTAAACTGATTTCTGATTCAAACCTACATGGCCAATGTCTGTCTATACATATAAACTGTAACTGTCAACTCACGAACACTTGGGCAATGGTACTTAACCAAAGTAACAGCTGTAAAAAGTGAACACCATCAACTGCTGTAAAATGTATCTCTTAAAAGTAATTTTAAAATTACAGTGGTCAGCCAGGCATGGTGGCGCAGGCCTCTAATCCCAGAGGCAGAGGCAGGTGGATCTCTGTGAGTTCGAGGCCAGCCTGGTCTACATAGCAAGTTCCAGGCCAGCTGGGGCTACAGGGAGACCCTGTCTCAAAAAGATCAACAACAACAACCACAACAAAAATCATACTCTGTTCAGTGATTCAAGCCAGAATCACGGAAGCAAATACTGGACTCCTTTAAAGACTTGCATTGTATATTGTGTGTGATGGTGGGTGAGAACAGCTCTT